ATATATATATATATATGTATACTGACACTGAGAAACGAAAAGCCTGGGAAGATGAATTCCACGGGATGGACAGATCAAAACTGACCGGGACGAGTTTCCGTACATTTGGTGGAGTATTTGAAGTTGAACTACGTTTCTGCTGTGTAAACTAATAATAATGTTACTCTGTCACAGCCTTCACTTGGTCATTTTGAACCGGATGTGTTGAAGTACTAACAGTAAATGGAAGTATGGATCGGTGCTAAATTCACCACGTCCAAAACGACCTGATTGAGTGTCCAAGGCAGTTAACTGTAAGGTACGTTACACTGTAGTGGAAGTAACTTCACTTGCACGTATTGCTTGAGGCTACAGTACCGAATTGGCGCCGCGTACTTCGTGGACCTCAACCCCTGCATCTTCAGCTATAACATGTTATGCTCAAGATTCTACGGACTCGTGAAGTGCTTCCAGGGGAGGACGAAAGCATGGATGGTACATGGAAGAAAGGGTGGCATCTGGTTTGGGAGGTTCGACATTATATGTAGTTATTTGAGAATAATCAAGGTGTACGTTAACATGGAGGATTGAATTCTACTTCCAACGAGCCTTGAACCCCATTCCGCAATATAAATCGTTAGCTTTTCAAATCCAGTTCATACAGTACGTAGCCAAAATATGTTTGGGTAATATACTACTACTGGTATACTAGTACTTACTGTTACTGTTAAGACTTACTGCGTACTCGGAGTACTATTAGTATATATATATCTATAGTATTAATATCTTGACGATATATATATCGACGTCGCAACCAACGACATCGTGATGTGACTGGTGGAATTCTAGCGTCAACATATTTAAATACACTTGATGTTTTTATACTGGATGTATTAAATTGTTTCTTGGGACTTGTGACGTCACGTTTATGTTGGGATTTGTATGCGTGGGAATGTCTTGATTTGATTGGTCAATTGCGGACGCTGCCTTGTGTGGCGTTCGATGCAGTCATTTCATTCTGGCAATCAACCATGTTGGCGCGCGTGCTCAAGCAATCTTCCACACCCTTCCGCGGCATGGCTGCCCGCCGCTCCATGGCCACCGTCGCGGACGAGATGACTGTCCGTGACGCCTTGAACACGGCCATGGATGAGGAACTCGCGCGCGACGAGTCCGTGTTCATCATGGGCGAAGAAGTCGCAAAGTACAACGGCGCGTACAAGGTCACCAAGGGTTTGTGGGAAAAGTACGGCGACAAGCGCCTGTGGGACACGCCGATCACAGAAGCCGGCTTCACCGGTCTGTGCGTTGGCGCCGCCTACCACGGCACGAAGCCGATCGTCGAGTTCATGACGTTCAACTTTGCCATGCAAGCCATCGATCAGATCATCAACTCGGCCGCCAAGCAGTTCTACATGAGTAACGGCGACATCGCCGTGCCCATTGTGTTCCGAGGCTCTAATGGCGCCGCATCCGCCGTCGCCGCCCAGCACTCGCAATGCTTTGCCGCGTGGTACGGCTCGGTGCCCGGGTTGAAGGTGGTGATCCCGTATGACTCGGAAGACGCGCGCGGTCTGCTCAAGGCCGCGGTGCGCGACCCCAACCCCGTGGTTGTGCTCGAGAACGAACTGTTGTACGGCACGTCCTTTCCCGTGTCCAAGGAAGCGCAGGACAAGGACTTCCTCATCCCGATCGGCAAGGCCAAGATCATGAAGGCCGGCGCGGACGTGACCATCGTCACGTTCTCGCGCATGGTGGGAGTGTCGCTCGAAGCTGCCGCGGTCCTCGCCAAGGAAGGCATTGACGTTGAAGTGATCAACCTCCGCTCGATCCGTCCTTTGGACCGCGACACGATCATCGCGTCCGCCAAGAAGACGTCGCGCGTGGTGACCGTCGAAGAAGGCTGGGGCCAACACGGCATCGGCGCCGAAATCGCCGCCATCCTCATGGAGACCGACGCGTTCGACTACTTGGACGCTCCCATGGAGCGCGTGACTGGAACGGACATCCCCATGCCGTACGCCGAGAACCTCGAGCGACTGGCGGTGCCCCAGATCGAAGACATCGTCGCCGCCGTCAAGCGAGCTACCGCCCGAACTTTGTAATTAGAAGACACATACACTCTGGTGAATGTACAACACCATACTTATACTGACTCGTTCGAAACGGGTTCGAAACGCGTTGCACACTTGAGGACTAATTAGTGTGATATGCGATTTTTTTGCAAGCATTGTTGATAGGTGGACTAATTAGTGTGATGGGAATCTCAATCAGCACTGATACAGTGGGTACAGGAGACGCGTGGTTATGGAATAGCGGTACCGAATAGTGTACTGTACCCTACACTACTAGTAACTGTAAATATGGTGCACGTCATATACTACGTAGTATAATCTACTTCCTCTGTCCCATATTACTCGTCGATTTGAAAAACACACTTGTTCCATATTACTGGGGCACAAACGCATTTGATTGGCTTACAAAAATTCTCAGCACTTTCATTGGTTATTAATACCCTGGTCTACAAGAGAAGCGATACAGGGCACGACATGTTTGACATCAGAACAACTTTTCACAAAATTTTCTGATTTCTATTCATACTATTATTAGTATTCATTACCAGTAACACTCCAAATTTCAGCAAATTGAGACGTAGAATCGACAGATCTCAATGTGGTGAAGAAACTCTACGTCTCAGATTCAAATTTGGTGATGAATTGGTCCAGATATACTTCGAAGTAGATATTTAACCTAGCGGTATTTTACATGGGCGCTTGGATATTTGGCCATTGGGGTTGGCCACTGAGATGTATCTTGATTTTTGTATGCGCCACGTATCCGTATATAATATCCGGAGGCAGTTGGGGCCTGACTGCAGTGACACTCCGGAGTAACACGCATGAAATCGGTAATTACTGTTAACGTACATATTTGGTTCATCTCCACCGGAACACGGATTTTGACCCTGGATCTGAGTTAGGGTTTAACTGCATTAATGGTATTAATACGTTATCCAGCTTGTAAAAATGGTTCATATGAAACCGTCTTGAATGAATTTAGTGTGAAAAAAAAGCACAATGTACGGCAAGCCTGTCTACTATTGTTTGTACACTACCCTAATTGGTGTTCGAAACCGTTTCGAAAACGTTTCGAACATGAGTTCCTTACAGCATCTTTTCCTGCCGCGCATGATTCCACAGAACGTACGCGGCAGTCGCCTCCGACTCTTCGAGGTCGTTCCGTTCAGCCATCATGTACTTGTAGTTGGACGTAGCGGGCGTCGTAGAGGGCGCCATGGACGTCAGCGGCGGCAGCGTGATCGGGTTGGTCAGACCTCCGCCGTTCAGAAGCTGCTGTTGCTGTGGTAGTGGCATCGCCGAGTCGAGTTTCCGTCGCTTCATGGAGGGTTCTGCTGAGTCCATTGACTGTGTCTGGACAATCAAATGCATTAGACTGCCCAACGACGTCATGTGATGCGTCAGCAAGTTCACTTGGTTCTTCAACGTCGCAAGCTCGGACTTGACGTCGCCTACGAGCTCGGTCATGAACCCTTTCAACTCGTCCAGCTCGGATTTGGTAGAGAGATGCTGGGAGGACGATTGCATAGAGGCGGCGGCGGCAGCCGCCGCAGCTGCGGCCTGTGCTTGATTCGAATCTGCATACGTCTTGCGTCGAATGCTGCCCATCTTCTCGGGGTAATCGCGCAGGAAGAGCGGGTGGCTGAACTCCCACCACCCCTGCGCTTCCAAGGCAGCGTCGGCGTCCGTTGGTGAGTCTAATCCCTTGGCTCGCAGCAAGATGTCCTCCTTCTTGACCTTGTGGAACCCGTAAAAGTTGAGCTGTCGTGCAAACGAGCTAAAGTTGTTGTGTTTGAAGTACCGCGGCAGCACGTCGGACGCGAACTCGTTGATGCGCTTGATGATGAACGACTCTCCGGACGTGGACCACGTCGCGACGGCGTCTGCGCAGTTCTCGATCATGTCGTACGTCTTCTGAAGGAACACCGGGACATGATTCATCGTTGGTCGTCGTCACGGTGATGGGCGGCGAAAGGAAGAATTCTGGCGGGGAATTCGACAGAAACTTCGCCCGAACAGCGTCTGGCTCTAGGCGCTGTAACGTTTCAGCGTTACTTTAGCGATGTGATTCGCTAAAAAGAAATCCTTTGAACGAATCAAATCCGTTTATTTCAAATAACGCGTTGGGATTGGACATTAATTGCTTAATTTTAACAAATCAAGCGAATCGACCTTGACCATCGATCAACCCTGCCAATCAGAATTCGTTCTAAGACCCACCGAAATTGTAGCCAATCAGCACCTATCACTTTCGATATCCCATCATTCGATATTTTTTCTGTGGAACAATCCAAAGGTCAGATGACATGGTACATAAATCTATGGATATCGCTCGGTTCATTTAACCGCAAAGAATGCCGGTTAGCAACATGCGCACAACGCTTATCCTAGTCTCACGAGGATAAGAACCACGTTACGACTCTCTCATAACCCTAGTTCCTATGTGGAGGCTATGAAAACTTGAGTAACAGTTGAAGACCATGATATCCGACGGCCTGTCGTCGTGCGTAGTTGTGTTGGAATTCGATCTTGCACTTTGCACACCATATGGTTTGCCCACGATGCGGCTCATACTTGACATTTGTATGGCACGTCACTTAGAACATGGTTCCAAGCGTTAGGATGCTTCGACCGCGTTCTGGTCGCTAGATATACAGTGAGTGAGTGTACCGGTATTACTTCGAAGTACAAAACAATGACCTTCACGGTTTGAGAGGAGGGCCAACGAAAATTGCTTTGGTTTGACTTGTTCTGGGTGATGATGTTCACAATCGTTGTTGGGCTTGTGTGACTGGTATGAAATCCGTCGCCTTAGTAACCGGATACTTTGAGATTTGGTTTCCGTCCATAAAGCTACCAGTATGTACTGTTTGTTACTGTAACGTTACCCAATTCTTACCTTACTGTTAGTCGAACCTTGAGTTACAGTAACGTTACCTGCAATAATAGGCCCAAAATCAGTCATTCATACTTCGAAGTATTTTGAACGTGTGAAATATACCGGGTAGACATATACCGGACAAAGGACGAAATATACTCCAACAATGTAAGGTCTGGACGAAATATATGGAATGCTTGGCGAACATAAAAACACCGTTGGAGTGAATCAGTTGTTCGTCGGACGAAATATACCGGAAAAAACCTGAACTTAAGCGAAAAATGATGTAGTAGATCTATTAATACCTAGTATTCATACACCTATTTGCAGTTAACAGTTGGACGAAATGCCCGGTATATTTGGTCGTGTGCCCGATATATTTGGCGGTGTGCCCGATATAATTGGCCGTGTGCCCAAGCAATTGCCCATGTGCCCGAAGAATTGTGTCGTGTGCCCGATGAAAATGGAAATCACGCAAAAAAAAGTCAAAGCGACACATGATCGTTGTTGTGACGTCACATACCAACGCCCATGTTGCCCGTGGCCTCCGCGCGTCCATCGAAGGTGCGTTCCTTGAGGTAAATCGTAAAATGAGCTCTGCGCGCGACAGATTCAAATTTTGGACGCAGTTGAAGTATAGGGGCAGCAGTATACTTTGTTCAAGTAAAAATATCGACTTCAATGTTCTGTACTTCGAAATATTCACTGGAATAGATTATACTGTTATTAGAGAGGTTTAGCAACTCGTTCCATTCCGCATCCATAGCGGCGCCCCAACATATGGTGACAAAAGCAGAGTCTACCTCTCAAACATAGTTATGGAAACTGTCAAAAATAATGATCAATCCCCATAATTGACCAATTGTATGGAATCAATTCCATTCTGTACATTTTCAAACGACTCGTGGTCCCAGTGTCGACGCCGACCATGACCACACCAGTGAAGCGACGCAACTACACCGATGAGGAGGATCTGATGCTCCTGCGCCAAGTCTCTCTCGAACTGCCGTTTTTGGCGCGCCGTGGCCTCATCATGGACAAGTGGACGGCTGTAGCGCGGGCCCTTGTCGCGTCCGACGAGTTTACACGCACCGACCTCGATGCCAAGAAGGCGAACAACCGCTTTAATGCCCTTATTGACAGCCACCGCAAGCACAACAAAGATTCAGAACGAGCATCCGGGGTCTCCGAGGAAGTTTCAGAGAAGGTCCTTCTGTTGGACGACCTTCTCGCTGTATTCGACGACGCGAAGGACGAGGAGGCAAAGCGTGTTGTATCAACACAAAAGGCCAACCAGCACATTGAAAACTTGGGCAGCATTGTCCGCGACGAAGCAATGATGTCGTTGGGCAAACGAAAGCAAGCATGCGATGTCGAAGGTGCTGTCGGTGGCGGCAGCAACAAGGTGGTCAAAATGATGGCTATTCTCAATGAACAGGCGAAGTCTGACCTAAAATTTAAGAAGGAAAAGCACAACAGTGAGATTGAAGAGCGTCGCCAAGATCGTGAATTACTGCTGGGGCATATTCGTCAGCAAAATGAGGCGATGCAAAAACAACAAGAGTTAATGCAACAACAACAGGAGACGTTGTTAAAATTGATGAGTGCCATCATTAATAAAATTTGAAGTACGATCTTGTTAATACGTT